TAATCGCTTGGGGGGGGGGGGTAAATTTAAAAAAAAATTGAAAGGAAGTATCATTAGTGCATTGCTGTACGTTTGTTTACAGGATAGCAAATTACAGGAAAGTTGTTTGCAGTTAATTTTAAAATAGAAATTAGTTTGTTAACTCTGTAATATTTACAGTATCAAATTAAGATACAGTAACTGATATTTTCTTCTTTAAAATTTTTGGGCAACCAAGTTTTGCGTTCGGACAAGTCAAAATTGTAGTTCACTTGCCTGAAGGACAAGTGAATATAAAAGTTAATGTCAATCCCTGAACAATGTAGAATTTTTTTTTAAAATCGTTTGAACTATATAAGAAAACGTTTGTGCAATTTAATAAATCGTTTGTACAATTTGTTTGTTAAATCATACGATTTATCAAAATAGTTTGTACGTTTTTTTATAAATCGTTTGAACAATTTAAAAAACCGTTTTTACGATTAAAGAAATCGTTTGTACGATTTATCAAAATAGTTTGTACGATTTAATAAATTGTACAAACTATTTAATAAATTGTACAAAGATTTAATAAACAAATTGTACAAAGATTTAATAAACAAATTGTACAAACGATTTATTAAATTTTACAAACGATTTATTAAATCATACAAATGACATATAAAATTGTACAAACGATCTATTAAATTGTACAAACGATTTATTAAATCATACAAACTACTGATTAAATTGTACATACAATTTATCAAATTGTACAAACGATTTATTAAATTGTACAAACAATTTGTTAAATCGTACAAACCTTTTTTTAAAATCGTTAAAACGATTTTTTTAAAATCTACATTGTTAAAATGGCACGAATACGCCGTCGTACGTGCCTATTCGATGTCATTAATATTTAAAACAATCGGTTGCTAGTCGCTAATTTTGTCATTCCTATTCGATAATTTTTAGCTTTTTTTAATCGATGATTAATTGGTTTATATGCAATAAAGTTGTTGTTCGAAAACCTACTACCATCATTTCTATTCGAAAAAAAAATACAATTCGTTAAACTTCTCACCTTATAACATAATTTTATCTCTATGATCTCCTATGCGATGTTTTTTAATTATTTTTCAATAATTGTCATGATTGCATTCTGGGAAATATGACAAATAAAACTAGAATTAGTTGTAAACTCAATTAATTAGGAATGTAAAGTTTAACATTATTATCGAATATAAATCATTTTATCACATAGATTGACAAAACAAAATTTTAAAATATTGGAAATAAGGCAGAAGTTTTCTCTCTTCAAGACTTAGAGACTAGAAATCAGCATAAATTAAGCTGTTGCTATTTAATATTAAATAAATGTGTTTCGTTTTATACATTGATGGAGTAAATATAGAGGATTTAGTTATTCAGAATACAAATTTATTTAATTGATTATGTCTTGTATCAATTTTTGACAAAGATATCCAATATGTCTTAATATAAAGTACATGTTGATCCTAATTCAAGACTTAAAGTCATTGATACATCTCACCAATTACGGAACATTAAAAGATATTAATACAAAATATAGTAAATAAATAATTTTTTTCAGAAATCAAGTCATTCTCTGTATTATCTTAATCATGTGATCAAGTTTGAGCCAATCAGAGAGCTTAGAATTAAAGGTGATATCACCTTTCCGTGCTAAATAGATGCTATCACCTATTCGAAAAGGTGATATTACCTATTTGAGTTTCTTACAACAGTCATTAATGAATGCTCCCTATAATATATATTCTACTACACTGGAACCAAGAAAATTCGGACTACCCCGTTTTCATACATTTTCTACGATTTTTTTGTTGTATACATGATATATAAGTGAAATAAATTAATTTGTACGCAAAAAAAAAACTACAGCTGTTCGACGGGAAAAGGTGATATCACCCAATTGAATAAGTGATATCACCTTTTCGAATTGGTGATATCACAAATTCAAATCAAATAAGTGATATCATCTATTGGAACAGGTGATATCACTTATTCAAATAGGGGATACTACTTTTTGCAGTAAATACCAAAACGGGGCCTCATACCTATGAATAAAATCACAGTAGTGAAAACCCAATCATAAATATGTGTTTTTATGCTGTTGAATTTTGAACCGGTTTCATGATCAAAATTCAACGACCCGGCTCAGTTTTCAACGGATTAGGGTCTAAATTCAACACCTTCGGTATCAATATTCAACGTTGAAAAATGACCCCCGGGTCAATTTTCAACCCGGGTCAAAATTCAACGTTACACCGGCAACCACGCCATTTTCATCAAAAAAAACGCATCGGTTTCTCATCGTATACCCCATCGCTGGATAATGTGACTGATACTTTAACAAACTGTTTGCCGATGGTAGGACGATGATCGAAGGTTGGTCGACAGGCTATTAATGACTGCTTCAATTGAAGGAATCGGCCACCGACGCAGAAAAAATTATAACATGGTCCGACAAACACAAAGTTGGTCGGCCGACGAAAAAGAGGTCAAGATCGGACAGGACAGCGGCCGATGAACAGCCGACTGTCGCCCGAATATTCCTAATTTTGCCTCAAAAACCGTTGACTGTTGGTCGTTTTTGGAAATGTGACGGGGGTTTTAATAATGATAATTATATTGTTTCATATCAATATAGATTGTTTATAATAGTACCGGGTATGCTATAAATAGTTAACTAAAAAAATATTATATTAATTTTACAATCAAAAGAAAAAAATAGAACATGTTTACCCAATATTTTATGAATATACATTCCCATTGCTATCTAAAGCCTTAGTCACATTTCCCGGCCGGTGGTAATCGGTGGTAATCCGTGGTGTGAGCGATGCCCCAACATCGGTCCACCTCGGCCTAGTAGTCCTTAAAGTATCAGTCACATTATCCAGCGATGAGGTATTAGATGGACGACCAATGCATTTTTTGATAAAAATGGCGTGGTTGCCGGCCGGACTTACAAAGGCCCAGCGATGCATTCCTAATCATAAAACGATGTTCCAGGGTAATCGGCCGATTTATATTACATTGTTCAATGCTCATGCATTGGTGAACATCGTCCGTACGTCGGTCGACTATGGGCAAATGTTTGGTCAAACATCGACCGATGATCGGCCGATGTCTGTTGTCCACCACTGAACCCCCCGATGGCCTCTGATTCAACGGACACTTGACGATGCTCGGCCATACATCGGACAATACTTGAAAGATGTGTTAATAATGGGTTGCCGTTGAGGAGCGATGCTTCATTAAGGAATTTGAAGTTAAAAGTTTTCTCTTTGGCTTTTGTTTTTTTCTCAAAACCTTTTGCCTTAAAGCCTGAGATTTTTTTTACGCGTAAAGCATGCAAGAAATCTCTTCTAAATTGTAAAAGGTTTACAAATAATATGCCCTCTGTGTTTATTTTTTTTATAAAATAAAAGGTATGTTGTAAAGTTTTAAAAATTTCTAATATAAATATAATTTATATTTTTCCCTGACATAACATTGCTGTAAACAAGGAAAAGGGCAGTGTGGGGCATCGGTCGAGAGATCACTGATTTTTAACTACAACTTATTTTCTACCGATGGCCCCCAACGATTCGCCAAATGGACTCAGTCACCGTCCGATTACTATAGGTGTCCGGCCGGAAACCACGCCATTTTGATCAAAAACGCATCAGTTTCTCATCGTATACTCCCAATCGCATCATCTCGGGTCTTTCCGTCAGGGGTTGGAAAAACAACCTCGAATGTATTAACATCACCGGATGTTAAAATTTTATACATTTCCTGTTTATTCAAATGTAGGATAGATGGAGTTAGAAGTCCCTTCTTTAGTATATTTTAGGTAATATCATTACATTGAGTAAAGTGAAACTCCATATTCCACAGATAAAATGTCTCCATGCATTTATTTCAAAGATCGTGAAAAAGGGGGGTTGTCATGACGTCTACCATATACTAAGCGCATAGTTACAAAAATTAATTACTTTACAGTAAAATGCTATATATTTTTTTATATGATGTACAATATTACATTCAGTTTCATCAAGATTTTCTATTCTACAAAATATTTTGTATTTTTAATGAAATAAAGGAAATAAAATTGTTCAAAAAGTAATCTGTTTTCTGGTTACGTTCTAAGTAAAAACCAATAACATTATCTTTCCTTTGAATTTTAAACACAGTGGAAGCTATATCCAAAATGTATTTAACATTTCAACATTCAAAAATAAGATGTTGCATGCCTTCTACAACACTTATCTGATGTTTCGCTTTTCCATTTTACCTTATATTTTTTTACAACAAAGTAAATTGTGCAATAATTTTTTGTAATTGAATTCCGCAATAAATTTTTTTTTTGTTATCTATAGCTACTTTATATATTTTGTAAAAAGTAAATAAGAAATGTTTATTACGTCCACATTTCTTGATTAACATTGAATATTTCTTACAAGTAATGGCTGATGTTTTGGCCGAAGTTAAGAGCTATAAGAGTTGTTGCTAACAGCAAGGGATATGTTTATAAAAAATTTTTGTGATATGTACTTATAATTGATTTTGTTCTTTCTCAGCTTGATGTTTATATTTAAACCAGCATCTATAAAATAATTGATATATTTTATTTTTTTAACCCAGGTTTTAAGGATATCTGTTTCCCCTTAAATAAATAGTCTATTATTCCATATCGGTTCTTGTAAAATTTCGTTTATATTCATTTTCTTTATTTCAGGAAGATTTTTACATTGATTGAAATAAATAAACATTTCACTATACTGTAAAAGAAGACAGTCTTTTAAGGAGTTAAAGTCGTTTAAACCTGTGCTGTTGGTTTTAAAAATATATTCAAAATTTATATTATACGTCCCTTATAAATTGTCAAGGTGAGAAAGCATCATAGAGTTGTGATCAGCATTATTTATGTCATTATTTATGGCATATTGTGTGAAATATGAATATGATATCATATCATTAAAAAGTTTTCAACAAAGGTTTTTTTTCTCGAAAAATAGGTCAAACATGAAGGTCAAAGGGTCAGAAATCATTGCACACTCGGAAATATCTTGTCACAGGTAATACAAAATATGAAACCCCTATCTCTTCTCTATCAAAAGCTGTGAGGAAAAAAATCACACTTTTTTTCAAAAGTATGTCAAATGTAAAGATCAAGGTCATGGGGTAAAAAATCATAGAGTATTTAGATAAGTCTTATCACAGCTAGGTAATACATGTTTAAAGTAATGTTTAAATTTTTGAACAGTAGGTCAAACTCCAAGCTGAAGGTCACGGGGTAAAAAATAACCCAATTTTGTTGGAGTGAGCTAAAAATTACACAATACAAATTGAAAATATCGAATATTGCAACATATGGCATGTCACAGCGAAATATTTATGCATCTATATTTATTTTTTTCCCCTTATCTTCTATTTAATTTTTAATCAAATTATACCAAATCAAAATTATATGGAAAGTCATGTGTAATTGTGCAGCATTTTTCCCTTGCAGGTTGCGTGATATAAGTCCTTATTCTTGACACAGAGAAGTATTACATGTATATGGATATACAGGTGAACAGAAAAAATAACAATCGGCTAATTTCAATTCGCTGTTATAAATCTTTTTTATGAGGTCATAATCCTCAGAGAAAATGAACCAGCCAATGAAAACACGAAAGGAAAACTCCATTCAATTAAGCTACGATAACGCGGCGTTTACTAATACATGTATAGCTGATGCAGCCCCAAGTGACAAGGTGGACGTTGTAGAAGAAAACGACGAGACCTTCCAAAAACGAAGTACTTCAGTTGACTACGATGAAGTCGGAAATGACCTCAATTCTGTTATAAAACATGACAATGGATTTGAAAATTCCGATTTGGGGATTTATCAAATATCAAAATATCGTAAAAGTGATAAACTGTTTAGTGTGATAGAAAGAGGCCGAGAGACATCTGGGATTTCAGTCACCAATGACAAAGTGGAAGAAAAAAAATCCGACGTGAACCGAGCATCACTCATGTCTTATATCAAGGATAAACTATTGTCAAATAAGTCAAATGTAGTGGCTCGGGATGAAAATGAGGAATCGGAAGTTAACGAGGAAGGAAGAGAGACATGGGGAAAGAAAATTGACTTTCTTCTTTCTATCATAGGATTTGCCGTTGACTTGGGAAATGTCTGGAGATTTCCGTACATTTGCTACAATAACGGCGGGGGTAAGTATATTCGAAACCAGGTGTGAAATGAATCATTTTATTGGCGTTTTGAAATGAAATGTATATCGCTTGCGCTTAATTTATGGGAAATGTTGATATCTATCTGACGAAGAAAGAGAAGCTGTTATCAAGCCTTTGCATTACGCGCAGCAGTCAACACCATCAATAAAATCGGTACTTAGAAAAACAGTTTCATTCAAGGCATATTTGAATAAATGCCGAAATTCTTGGTTGAAATATTTTTAAAAAGACATCATTGGCAGAGTTTAATAGCCTTTTTTCACTTGCTCTTCTCTTACAATAATGTGGAATAGGGTCAATCTTATTGCTATTCTTAACATGTATTTTTTTTTTCTCCGTGAAAGGGATTATCGTATTACAACCACAATCTATTATTTGTTTTTTAAAGAACAGGTATGATTACAAAGTTAATACGAATTAACACACTTGATAATGATTATGTGTGCTTGCATTTAATTTTTCATTTACCGTTTCTTGGCCCTGAAGGTATATGACCGTCCTAATGACGTCAATTTTGCAACATAAGGACAGATGTCAGTAGCGCATGACTCTGCATTCCTTTTGTTGATCCTTATGTTATTATAGTTAATATTCTTATATTATTGTGAAATACATGCAATGGAAGTGTTAATTTTAAAATAAATTCGGTTTCGTATGGTAATAAAATCCAAAATATTTTCTCTGCGCTTACATCGTATAGACACTCGGTAGGCTAGCTATAAATATATGAATAAGATAGAAAAGACCCGTTAAGACAAAAGTAAACACGTATTGCTTCTCCAATGAAAAAAAAATTATTTAATCATCAAGACTGGTTCAATTCTAATCGCTTCTATGTTTTCCCCATCTTAATATTTAAGAAAGATAATTTCAGAGGAAAACATGTATTCATGTGCAGTTTTTTGTAAGATATTCTCGGAGATTTCTCTGATTTCCTTCCAAAGTAGAAGATAATTAAAATATTTGAATTATTATCTTCATTGATACCAATTATATTACGTGTACCATATTTGTTGTGATACGATAGTAAAATTTCTTTTGGCTACTGTGCAGTTGTCATATATAATTTTATTTGGCCATTTTGTTGAATTGTCTTGTATGAATGTCAACAATTTACATCAAATATTGCACTAAATTGCATACGATATTTTTTAAAATCTTGCTTGTAAAATGGCTGGCCAAAACAGTAACGAAGTAACCCCCCTTCCGTCCCCCTAAAGGAAAAGATAAGAAGTACTTTTTGTGTTATTTTGTAATAAATTGTAAGGGTAGTGTTAATATATACATGTATTTCTGTAGATGTTTTTCACATATCTAAACTGTGATAATGAGACCACTGAGGAGAGAAGAACCCGACAGGTAGAATTCATTGAAAACAATTCCATTGGAATATTTCATGTTTTTCTCGTATCATTATCACCAACAAAAGAGCAACCATTGTTTTTTATAATCGTACACTTAGCATGCTTACTTTGGTTACTTAATACTCAGAAAATGCATTTCCCACTTTATAACCACCAGCTGTGCACCCCACCCACAGGAACCACTAACCCTAGCGCTACATATTTCCAAATTTTGGAAATTTGATTTCATCTTAAATGGTTGATTAATACCAAAGAGCTGATTTCAAAGCATTGATTTATTTTCAAACTATTTACAACCCCATCCCCTCTCAGTACCCCTGACCCAGGGGTCCTGAAACTAACCATTATGAAAGGGTCACTTTTCTATATCAACTATGTATTTAGATCATTGGCATGATATCCGGGAGCAAAGGAAAAGTTTTTCAAAGAATTCATGCATTTTCACTATATAATCATTAGAGCCCCAACCTAACACCAGAACCCCTGACCCATGGGTCATGAAATTCACAAACTGGGAAGAAGCATCCTTCCTCTTCATAACTATGTACATAGTTCATTAGTTTGATACACAGGAGCAGATTTTTAAAGAATTTAAACATTTTCACTATATAAACAATAGAGTCCCATCCTAAGAAAGAACCCCTGACCTTGGGGCCATTAAATTCACAATTTTGGAAGAGGCAGCCTTATTCAACATTACCATGTACTTGGTTAGTTTAGCTAATACCAACGAGCAGAGAAGGAGATTTTAAAAGAATTAATGTATTTTCACTATATATTCAATAGAGCCCCGCCCTAATACCAAAACCCCGACCCAGGGGCCATGAAATTCACAATGTTGGTATTCTTGCTCATCATAACTATGTACTAGTACTTGGTTAGTTTGTTTAATACCCAGGAGCAGATAAGAAGATTTTCAAAGAATATATGCATTTTCACTATATAATCAACAGAGCCCCCAACACCGTAACCCCTGATCCTGAGGCCATGAAATTCACAATTTAGGTAGAGGCAGCCCTTATTCAACATAACTATGTACTAAATACTAACTATGTACTAAGTTATTTGATGCCAAGGAGCAGAGAAGATTTTCAAAGAAATAATGCCTTTTCACTATTAGTATATAATCTATTTAATCCCGCCCTAGGACTAGAACTCCTGGTCCTGGGGCCATGAATTTCACTATTTTGGTAAAGGAATCTATGCTGATTACCATCATACCAGTTTGACTGCTTGTTGTCCAGAAGAAAAGAAGAAGATTTTTAAAAATTGCAATAATTTTAGTGGTTTTGGCCCTACCCACAGGCCCTGGGGGGGGGGGGGGGGTCAGGGACTGTGAAATTCTGAATTATTGTTTCCCTTTACCAATAGGTTGCAGAGAAGAAGCTAAAAATGTTAAAATGTTAACACGTGACGGAAGACGGACGACGGACGACGACGGACGAAAACAGATAAGCAATAAGTCACCTGAGTTTACTCTCTTGCATGAAAATATACATGTAGTCCAGGTCATTACTTGATAACTTTTTGACATAAGGATTTTCAGGCAATAAATTTAGAAACCTTTGATATTAGGACTTCTAACATAGAGAGATGGCATTGAAACAAGATGAAACGCGTCAAAATTTTGACCTTGACCCCTTTCTTCCTTCAAGGTCAAATAAAAGAAACATGATTTTACTTTACTTGACAACCTTTTGACATAGAAACTTAGAATTGGAAGAGGATATATGAAGGAGGGGTGCATGTATGCCATCAAAACGTTTGACCTTGATCCAATTATTATGAGGTCAAAGTCATTATATCAAAATAGAGTACAGGCGATAACTTAAAAACCCTTTCATAATAGGACTTCAAACTTTCTTCTTTCAAGTTCAAACAGAGAAACAGCATGATTTGACCATATCTTCAGAACCCTTTGACGTAAAGACTTCAGATTTGGAACATGCAGAGCCGGTATGAAGGCTGGATGCAAGCATTTTAATTCTTTTCACCTTGATCCAATGAAGGCTGGATGCGAGCCACCAATTTTCTTTTACCTTTATGCAAATTATAAGGTCAAGGTCAATCTTTTACATCAAAATTGAGTCCAGGCTATAGCTTGTCTACCCTTTAGCATAGCAATTTCAAACTTTTCAAGTTTTAATGAAAAAATAAAAAAAAAAATGAGAAAACACGACTAGACCCTTTGACAGCAAGACTTCAAACTTGGAACATTATCACCTTGATCTATTAATAAAGGTAAGGTCAATCCTTTAAGTGAAAATATTGTCCAGGTCATAACTTGAGATTTTTTACACAAGGATTTCAAACAACAAGGTAAGATTAAACAAAATGCGCTGCATCTAAATGGTTAAAATTGACCTCTTTCTTCATTCAAGGCCAAATTAGGAAAAATAAGACCAGACCATATATTGAGACCCATTTTACATGGAGACTTGAAATATTGTAAACAGTTCAAAGGAATTTAAGCTGAGATGCAATGCAATTTAATTTTGACCTGATCGTAATATTACATTCGTTAATGTTGGTAAGGAAGGGGAAGCGTTGTTTTTTTTTGTTTTTTTTTTGTTTTGGTCAAAAATAAAAACAATACCCACTAGTTAACTTTGTATTATCTTTAAAACATCGTGAGATATAGTTTCTGTCTCACTTACTAATATTTTTAAAGGCCTTTATTAATTTTTGATGTTGGACAGACTACTAACCGTAATTGATCTATTTGCTGAATTTAAGTGAGGATGAAGTTATCTGCAGGTCCTAACTTAGATGCCCAACTGATCTCGAAGAAAAGTTTTCTTTTAAAAAATTTTTTACATGATTTTTTTTCAATTTAGTCTTTTAGTGAAGAGACCTTTAATCTTTTTTAAGAGTACATTAGAATATCGTTTGCATGTGTATTTCATTTTTTTTCAGAGATTTCATGAATTGTAGATAAAGTATTCTAAGAGACCGTACATGTTTTAGATAAATAACTCGAAGTATTTTCTATAGAGTGAAGTTTTAAATGCATTACGCCTTCTCATTGAAAATCAGTCTTATGGCGTGCTGAGAATTAATCTTGGATGAAAAAATCCATGCACGGCAAATCACTTGAGGTAGTTATTGTTTAAGCAATATTTTTTCATTTCATTCAAAAATAAAAAGGCACTCAAGTGTTGCAATGTTTTTGTATCTTGAAAAATGGTAAAACTTTAATTAATAGGTGAAAATACTGCATGTATCAACACAGAAGATCAAATCAAATGGTCTTTTAATATGCTGTAATGGGACAAATCTGAAACTGACTTAAAGATTAATATCAACAACACTTTGTAAAATCTTTAAATATGCAAGTAAACTTGTTAAAATGGTGGTTTCACATTCTGTAGATGATTCCGTGTACATGCAAGCCATTGCGCTGAAGTTTGGCAATCCAGTTTTTCATACTTCCATGCAAAGAAAAAAAATGAATGTTAAGTGTTTGCAAGAAGATGGCTTTTGAAAACTAATAATAACTTGATCTCACAGCCTACGGTGATTTGAAATCAACTTCGAATAATTTTTAAAAATCTCTATTCCCTAATTTTAAGTGGAAAATATATAATCATAATTAATAATCTAGGATTGCGGTCAAAATTTAATATGCAACCGTAAAAGATTGTTAGCACAACTTCTCAATACTATATTTTGAAAATTTGTTGTAAAAATGTAAGTTTATTAAGACAATTAGGCTCCGTCAGTTTTGCAAGTTGTATCTCCCTAGAAACTGCTTTTTTGTTCCAGGGAGATATCTACCTTTTGAACAAAGAAGTATGGCCGAAATATACCTGAACATATACTATTCTGTGAAACTTGCGTATAACTGATTATGTTCGTTGGTCCATGTTCATCTTCTAATTTTAATTGAGGAAGACAATCCGTATTTATCGTTCGGAAACGCTTTAACAGGAAATTCCAGATATTATAAGGGCATTTCCAGAACAAGCTCCAGACAGCTCAGTATTACGTTAGGCAACAACTCCATTATTCGTAGGGAAAGCAGTTCCGGAGAATTGACACCATTTTTTAGTATGGTCCCCGAAAAATGCATTTTCAATATCTTTTTTTTTTTATTTCACTAATACTATTAGATTAAACTTTTATGAGCTGCAACTTTGAGGTCAGAAAGTTTTGCTGCAAAATTGTAATTATCTATTTCAATGACAGAAAAAAAAGAACATTTTATAAACTTCTGTTGTTCATATTTGCGTGAAAGAACTATTTATAAGCTTTGATTAAAGCAAAATTGCACTATTGTTGTGAACAATATTGTGTTTTTTTTAATATAACTGGATACTGAATAAATTCATATGTACAGTTTACATGTACATTGCATAAAAATTTATCATAAAATCACGTACTAGTATTAGCAGTAAATAATAAAGTACTCAAAAATGCATCTTATATTGTTTAAAGAATTTGCAAGTATTATAATCAACATTTTTTGAATACTACATAGAAAAATCAACGAATTATCTCTATAAGTATCGTTTTACCCTGTTAAACCACGGCTGTTAAACTAATCTAACAAATGGCTGTCGGCACACTGCCGACGACGTCAAAACGTAATTTATTGCGTTCGTAAATATGATTAAGAACTTTGGCTCTTTTATTTCAAATTACAGTTTTTTGAAGCAGAATTTTCGAAAGTATGTTTGATTTTTAGTTTATAAGCAAAGGACGCACATGCACCATAAACATTTGAAAAGCAGAAAAATGCATGTATTTATTGTTAAGGAAGGTCCATACTTTTACGGATCCGGTTTTAATGTTATACAGCTATTATATAACCCCCATTGTCACTTTTCTATTAAAATGATTTTCTTTCATGGTGATTTAACTTAAAAGCAATTGTTTAAATGTTTATTACAGTACCACTGTACATGTAAGACATTGAATATACTCGTATATCATCAATGGAGAAAATTTACACTTAGCACTCTGCCTGTTGGATTTACATAAGTATTTTATACACACAGACACATACAATGAAATTTTAATTGACTCTATTAATAGACGATATGGACGGTTTGAGGTATCCTGCTAAATGCCTGGTTATCCGTTGTCATGTACATCAAATCAATCACAAATATAAAATATACGTAACCAGGTACGGTATCATTTAAAAACTTTTATCGGGATGTAAATACGGGTTTGCATGTGATCAAACCTAATCTGAATTCAACTCTGGTCAATAATATTTATATAACCAGGATCAACTTACTAGGTGACTTTCGTCCGTCGTGGTGCAATATTCGTTATCATTTGAACATTTTCAGCTTCTTCTCTGAAACCAATGTTGGCAATTAGCATCTACATGTATGGTTGGAGAGGAACAAACATTCTTAATTTCTTGGTCCCTGCCCAACTTTGGCCTGACAGGTAGGGCCAAAACCACTGAAATTGATGCCATCTAAAAAATCTTCTTCTTTACTCCCGGACATCAAGTAGTCGAACTGTTGGCATGATTGTAATAAGCATTGAGTCCTACACCAAAATTGTGAAATTTGTGGTCCCAGGGTTGGGACTCTAATGCCAAGTTGGGGCTATATTGATTATATAGTGTAAATACCTTATTTCTTTGAAAACTTTTTCTCTGCTCCTAGGCATTAAACAAACAGTCTAGTATATTTGTGATGGGGAAGGGCGTCTCTTCCAGAATTGTGAATTTCATGACCTCTTGGTCAAGATTTCAGCTCTATTGAGTATATAGTAAAAATGCATTCATTCTTTGAACCTCTTTTCTGTTCCTGGGTAATAAACAAACTAATTACGTACATACCCCCGGTAGTTATAATGAGCAAGGATGTCTCTTTCAAAAATTGTGCATTTCATGACCCTATGGTCAGTGTTCTTGTGTTAGGGCGGGGCTATAAAAATCATAAAATGAAAATGTATAAATTCTTTTAAAATCTAGAAGTCTCTAGAGTAGATCTGCTCCTTGGAATTAAACAAACCGACTGCATACATGGTTATGATGAGCGATGGTGCCTCTTCCAAAATTATTAACTTCGTGGCCCCTGGTGTTAGGGTTGGACTTTATTAATTATAATGAAAATGCATTAATTCTTTGAAATTTTTCTCCTCTGCTCCTAGGTACTAAGCAGATGAACCACATACATACATCATGTAGTCAAGACGATCAAGGTTCCTTCTTCCAGAATATTCAATTTCAAAACCCCCGGGTCAGGGTTACCGTAGAGGGGTGGTTCTAATGCTTTTATATTGAAAAGAGTTAATGCTTTGAAATCTGCTCCTTGGTAAAATAAAAAATAATTATGATGAACAAGGGTGTTTTTTTTCAAAGAAAAAAAAATCCACGAAAAGTGTCGCCCCAGGGTCAGGGGTTCCTGTGGGGTGGGAGCACTACTGATTATTGCTGTTTATTACTGATTAGTAGATTTTTTTGTTTCCTTACTTTGCCTATGGGTATTAAGTTTCCAAAAGCATGCTATGTAAGTGTATAATTATGTTGCGAAATGATGCCTCTTTCAAAATTGGGAATGTTTTGGCTTCTTGTTTGAAACACGAAAGAAATTCAATCGTTGGAAAGTTGTTACATGATGCTCAGGTGACCTATAAGGCCTATGGGTCTCTTGTTTGCGGTATTTTCTTTTGGCTGTGAATTTAGTCCGATTTCTGTATTAGTTGTTGAAGATAATTAATCTGTTCAATGACTGTAAAGTTCTTCCTTGCCTCTTGAAATATATTAATATGTTTTGGATTATATGTTTTCACAAAAGGACTTAAGAAGAGATCTTTGTCCCTTTTTCTGGTCTTTCTTAGATATGTTGCGGAATTCTCTTGGAATCAGATACTCATAACTGAACGTTAACAGAAATAAAAACATTTTTTTTTTGCAAACATTATCCAGATAATCTTCTGTCATAGGAGAATCCAAGTACCGGTACACTACATAGCTATAACAACTGGTGACTGAAGAGGTATAATAAAACAGAATACAAAAAAAGGAAAATTATTCTTTAGACTGATTGCTTTTTATTGCAGGTGCATTTTTAGTGCCATATTTGTTGATGTTGATTTTCTTGGGACTTCCTCTATTTTACATGGAGTTAGCTTTGGGACAGTTTCAAAGATGTGGTGCTATCAGTGTGTGGAAGAGGATTTGTCCAATGTTTACTGGTAAACTTTTTATTCAAATATTTACTAAATAAATCAGGAACTATGTCTCCAATATTCCTGTTAAAAAACTCTAATACAGCTACATGTAAGGGTCTATACGTGCAATATTTATCTGGAAAAGTCCTTATTTGAAATTGTTGCAATTTTACTGGCAAGGATCTTTTTGTCCATACAGTGTATTATACTGATTAGGGCTTGGATAATTCAACATTTCTAGATCGATATGTACATTGTATAACGATATTTGAGTCACGATACGATATTCATCACAATATGTTTAATTTGTAGCCGTTGACAAACAAAATTCTTTTACTCAAGTTGTGTTATTATTATCTATGTCACATCTCTATTTATATTATAATTTAGCACATTTATTTTATTTATGAAACACAACATGTTACATAAACAAAAATAACCTATTAAGTCAGAATTATCTTGCGTTTTTTCAATATTTAACCAATATTTAACCATATGCATTGACGTTCGTATCGCCCTCACACAGAATTGGCATTATCGATATCTCGATCTATCGTCTCAGCTTTAGTAAGGATCTCGATAAATAATTTTCAAATGCAATTTTCAAAATTAGAAAATGATATCGTACCAATGTTGCTCTATTTTTACACTTTTAATGACATGAAATTGAGAATACTGACTATTGACGCAATCATTGCTTGCAGCTGCGCAAGTCCTGTATAGATGATATGTTTTGAGACAATTCAAGGAAAATATTTTGAAAATGGTATATTCTATCATTCTATCATTGATGTGTGTGCAGTGGTAATATTAAAAATATTATTGTTAATTAATCGATTGAAGTTTTTTTTTTTCACAGAAATATGCATAGACCTTTATATCAATTGCAAGTTGAAATATGTTTTCTTGACCGAACGAAAATAAAACAAGGACACTGCAAAGCGGAGCATCTCCTCCCAAGACAGCATTAGATGCAAATTACGTCGCATCCATTTCTCATAAAACATAACTTACCCACAAACAAACCATACATAAGACATAACTCACCCACAAACAAACCATACATAAGACATAACTCACCCACAAACAAACCATACATAAGACATAACTCACCCACAAACAAACCATACATAAGACATAACTCACCCACAAACAAACCATACATAAAACATAACCCAACCAAAAACAAACCATGCATACATAACTCACCCACAAACAAACCATACATAAGACATAACTCACCCACAAACAAATCATACATAAGACATAACTCACCCACAAACAAACCATACATAAAACATAACCCAACCAAAAACAAACCATGCATACATAACTCACCCACAAACAAACCATACATAAAACATAACCCAACCACAAACAAACCATGCATACATAAATCCCCCACAAACAAACCATACATAAAACATAACCCAACCAAAAACAAACCATGCATACATAACTCACCCACAAACAAACCACTCACCCACAAACAAATCATACATAAAACATAACTCACCCACAAACAAACCATACATAAGACATAACTCACCCACAAACAAACCATACATAAGACATAACTCACCCACAAACAAACCATACATTAGACATAACTCACCCACAAACAAACCATACATAAAACATAACCCAACCAAAAACAAACCATGCATACATAACTCCCCCACAAACAAACCATACATGCATAAGACATAACTCACCCGCAAACAAAACATACATAAGACATAACACCCACAAACAAAACATACATAAGACATAACTCACCCAAAAACAAACCATACACACACGATTGTGTTACTTTATCACCCACAAACAAACCATATACACACGATTGTGTTACTTTATCACCCACAAACAAACCATTCACACATGATTGTGTTACTTTATCCCCTCCAACTCTGTTGCAAGGGGATAACAAGCCAATCATCACAAAGCAGGACACACCCTCACAATATCCGATTACTTATGCAATTTATCGTTACACACGCACTCACTTGCTCACTAAGACGCGCAAACTCGTGGTTTACTGTACCCCCCCCCCCAAACTTTGTTGCAGTGGGATAATAAAAGTACCTCGTTCTAGGATAAGAATTTTATCGTTTGTACTTAAGTTAATTTCATTTTAATGTTACGGTAGAGAAACGAAGCTATTTAACTATTGTAAAGTTCATTTCTTGTTTTGTAAACTAATACGAGCTCAATGTCACTGAAGTACATAACAATGGATCAAGGCAGTTTTTTTATGCTAGACGTGATAAAAACAGAGGTAAGGACTTGACAAAGACACCATCAAAAGATTGCTGAAATATAACTTGCGTTCTAGCACGAGATAATGTGCTTAACAATGTTCTCGGCTTACGAATTTTGCATCAACAATTCAAGTTAACTAGAATTCATAAGCAGAATCAGAAATCGACCTGAATTCGTGACAAACATTTAAAACGGAGAAGCTATGAAAACAATATTAAAAATGAGTCGTTGGATGAAATGTACTACATGTATATAGACACTTAATTGTGGGCTAACGTTTCTCTCCTATACTAGTACTTCTCAGATATACCGCCAAAACCTGCAACCCGACTTTTATCGTAACGAAAAAAATACCGAGACCAGCACTTGATTTAAAGGAATCGAAACTTTCAGCACATTTGGTGATGCTGCTTATATATCTATAAAACAAAATTTTAATTTTTAAAAATATAGTTACATTGACATTGTACATGATCTTGGAGGTTGACTTGCATTTGAGAAACTTCAACTCTCCGCCAAAACTGCCAAACAGGAGCATCAATATTTCACAAACCTATCTTGTTTTTATGCCCCTGTAATCAATGATTCGGGGTATATAGTTTTTGCCCTGTCTTTTCCTATTTCACAAGTGTGTGTGTGTTCCTAGTGACAATACCTTTCTTCGGGTGCCACCACCTCTTGCCCTGGACCCCCCCCCCCCTTTTTTTTTACAGAAAAATGTCAAATTTTAACTTTAGCCATAACTTTTTGAAAGTTTGTGGTAGGGCCTTCATACTTTACATGTGTATTTATGGTGACAATACGTTTCAATGGATAAATATTTTTTCTACCTCTGACCTTGACATTAGAATTTGACCCACTTTTAAAAACTTTAACCTTGGTCATAACTTTTGAATATAGTTAGTACTAGGATTTTCATAGTTTACAGGTGTATTGTTTGTGACTTTTCTCTGGATACCAACAATTTTGACCTTGACCTTGGATTTTACTTGCACTTGAAAAACTTATAGCCTAAGCCATAAGCTGTCATACGGGGGCATCATCGTGAATCACAAACACAACTTTTTTTTACATTGTAGGTGTGGGTTATGGAATTTGCCTGGTAGCCACATTTGTAGCGTTTTATTATAACACTATCATAGCATGGGGCGTGTTTTATATGTTTGCCTCCTTTCGGTCTGAGGTCCCCTGGGAAAATTGCAATAACACATGGAATACAGAAAATTGTATGTCCCTGTCAACGAATTTCAACAGGAGTCTGATAACAAATCATACCATAAGCGCCGCTGGTGAATACTATTTGTAAGTACTCAAGTTTCATACTTTAAATATGTGTCAATGCATTCATTACATATTTTTCTCAATATGCATTACATATAAATATTTTTTATTTATATGTAATGCATATATTTTTCATATTTTGTCACATGATTTTCCCGCTCCGGTATGAGTTGAACAGCAAAGTCTAGTTTTAGGGTACCTGCTTGACTAGGTGACTTGTTGCTATCTGTTTAGGTCCGTATTCGTTCGAAGACCTGTGAACATTTTCAGTTTTTCTCTGAAACAAACCATTTCAACCAATTTTGGCAGATGACATCTATTCATCCCCTCTTCCCTTCTGGGACCGGGGGATGGTGACTTAAACTCTTCAAATTAATGCACTTTTAAAATTTAAAATCATCTTCTTTACTCCAGAAAATAAAGATTGATTATTGCCGTTTCATGTGCTTTGAACTGATTGATAAACGAGTGCTAATTTAGCATTTTGAAAAGTATGACAATCTTGTGATAAAGACTTTTCCGATAAAGGTTCTACCTTAAACAGTATTTATAAAGTTTTTATTTCAAATAAAACACTTTTAGCAATGAAGTATTGATGGTACAGCATTCGTACGGAATAGAAGACATAGGAAGTCTACGGTGGCAACTGGTGCTATCGCTGGCCGCTGTGTTTTTAATCGTGTACTTCAGTCTTTGGAAAGGAATAAAGTCATCAGGAAAGGTAATTTAAAGAGGTACAATCTCCCTTGTAATAACAACAGAAATTCCTTTTTTTCTGTACTGTTTGTAGATATTATATTTATCACTTAAACTATACATAAAATAAAAGAGCTCTTTAGAAAGTAAAATATTTCTTTTAATTCTGACTAATTTTCAGGCAGTTTGGGTGACAGCTACAGTGCCTTATGTTGTACTTGTAATTCTTCTGGTTCGAGGCTGTATGTTGCCCGGTTCAGCAGACGGCATTAAGTATTATATCACGCCTGTCTGGAGCAAACTTCTGGACGAACAGGTGGATAAGAATTCTTCTACATCATCCTTTACATCCTTTATATTTTGATATCAAATATTTACAGTTCAACATTGAGTTTGAAAACATTAGGAACTATCAGAGAACAAATGATTATAATATCAAATATGTTACGAACAATTTGTATCATAAGTTGAAATGAAAAATATGGAGATAACGAACAGTATTCCAGATCAAAAGTCCATAAAACAATACAAAATAGGAGCAGAGCAAACACAGACCTTCAAAACATCAGAGGTGGGATCAGGAAGAGTGAGCATCCCCTGCTGAACGGTCACACCCACCGTGAGCTCCTTGTCATGATCGGGTAGTAACGGAAAAATCGGTCGTCAATTCAGTTTATAAATAATGGACTAACAATTAGTATGAAAAACGTCAGTCAGTATTTGACTCAATGATAAATTGTATTTGCTGACAAGGTCGACCATAGAATTGACGAAATGATGACTTTAAACAAGCCTGCTAAAACTCTTGTTTCATCAACTTGTTTGTCAATAATCTACCTCGTTGAAGAAATTGTTCATATGTAGAGCATGTTCTTGCGTATCTAATCAACTGAGACATGTATGATGAAGGTATACATGTATTGCTGCATAATTAAGGGAAGTTGAAGATAGATAAGTTGAAGTCATCCCGTTTATCGCCTGCATCGCTAAACTTACCAGTATGTTCGTCTTTGTACAATGTTTGGCTGAAGAGAGCGACTGGAAAACACGCAGATTTATTTTACCATTTTTTTTACGTTTAACGGACTATGTTGATGACAGTGAATAAAAAGTTCGTCTTATTAGAAGTAAGTTGAATGTAAAAACAATTTATTTTGCCTTTAATCGCTCATGTTTTAAAGAACTATATTTGCAAAATAAGGAGATCTTTGGAATTGCAGCCCTCTCCAGAAAATGTCAGATAGAATATCGTAGAGGGCTGCATCATGGCAGCTAATGAGGAGCAGGTGGATGTGACCGGTAGGCAGGTGATGCTTAACCCTCAAAAGTAATTGGCACCTGATTCCACTTAAGGGGTCCGCATTTGCTCTGCTCATGATTCGAAGTGTTTGAATGGACTTTTGAGCATGAATATTGTTCGTTTTCACCATGTTACATTATACATTTATTGACTGAGTTCGAGGGCAACATGCGTTTTGTCGGACCCAAGAACCAAACTGTCTGCCTGAGGCCGTTAGGCCGAAGGCAGACAGTTTGGTTCGAGGGTCCGACAAAACGCATGTTGCCCGAGAACTCTGTCAATAAATGTTTTGTTATACCTTTCATTTCATTTTTTTTTACATACATGTATTTTGTACGATATTCAGTGATGTAACATCAGGTCTGTCACTGTTTAATACCAACGAATGAAAATGAGATTAAGCTCCGCCCATTCTGTGACGTAAGCGGTCCATCTCTCCGAGCGGTCCAACATCTCACTCAGCGGTCCAACATCGATTTTTTTATGCCCGCTCAGCAAAACATTAAAAATGTTAGACTTTTTTTCGTATAGATTTGTACAGGAACAAATTTTTAAAGGTATAACAATGTTAGATACATCATATCCGTATCAGATCTAGAGACAGTCCGAATGATTTTTTAAAACAAAAGGCTTTGTAGAATATGCGATCATTCTTCAAACTTGGTTTTTTTAAGCTCTACTAGCTAGAACGTAATCTTCGGGATACATGTAACCAAGGTCCTGTCAAATTCTGTTAGTTCATTAAGCTTTTTGCGTTTGTAAGGAATATTTACTGCTGCTACTTCCAGCAAGCAGTTTATTTCAAGGCGAGGAAAAAATAGTTCTTGACTACATGCATAAAACTCAATACTAGCATTCAAATAAGAAAATTAAAGGTACAGTAATCCTAAAATACAGAATCCTATGTTACAGGGTTAAGGTTAGATTATTAAAATTGTTACTTACTTAGACCGACCACACTAGCCTAGTGAAAGGGTGGTGTTCGCTTCGGGATGGCGGGATTCGATTTTAGCTCGCCGAGCTGCGTCTTCCATTTTCAGTCAGGTAGTGACTGTTTCTTCGGAAGAATTCCGGTATTGGTAGGGAAAGTAACGGATCTTTCGGATGAGACTGTTAAACCGAGTGCCTGTGTTACTAAAGGCGTTGGCATGATAAAGGATGCAGATTCCTTACTGCTCAATGACCACGTGTCGAATATATAGATCTAAATTTGAAGTTGTTTACTGGTACATGTCATTGTGTATGCTGGAGTCTCTACATACAAAGGTTTACAATACGAACCCACACACACTCAAAAGAACGATTCTATATACTCTCCAACTTCGTTGACATCGGTATTTAATTTCATGGATTTATCCACCCACTAAAGAAGTTTTTTTTCTTCAATAATTTGTTTCTGCAAATTCTGTTAAAGGTGTGGATCGATGCCGCTTCCCAGATCTTTTTCTCTCTAGGACCGGGGTTTGGTACTCTTCTAGCCTTGTCTAGCTACAATAACTTCCACAACAACTGTTATTTGTAAGTTTAAAACTAAATAATTTTTGAAACCTTTAATCGTACTATCTCGTTGATATTTTGAAAGGTTTTGTTTATATTTACTCTATTGCACCAATACTCTCTTTTATAAAGAAGTTTTGAAAAATACAACCTCTACAAGTAATTTGTTCCATACTGGTTGTTTAAGTTCAAAATACATTTCTTTCTGTCAACAGTGACGCCATAACAGTGAGTATAATTAATTGTATGACGAGTTTTCTGGCTGGGTTCGTCGTTTTTGCTGTTCTGGGTTATATGGCACAAGCTCAGGGAGTCTCTATTGAGAATCTTCCCACTAATGGTGAGTAGAATGTACTATACAGTTGTTGCATTTATACCTGGTATCCCTTGTAACAAAGTTTCTAAGGACAGTGGCATTCTTGAATGTGGAACTGAACGTCCCTTCCACGGGTAACACGCCTATTCATTTTTGAAGGGCACTTTGAGTCCTTTCAATGCATTAGACACAATGTAAATATTAAACTTGAACTTAATTGCAACATAGGTGTAATAATCATAAATTTAAGGGTCAAAAAGGTCATTGTGTTAACATGTATGTTAACAAAATGTTTTATATAACTTGTATAAAAGGTTATGGTTGAAAGTAGCCGCAGATCTGTAGCGTTATGGTTTTATATATATATATTTGTCTTTGACCATAACGCTACATAAAAAGGTGCAATTTACGGCGCAATATTTTTGCGCACTTTTGGGGAGAATTTCTCCACTTTTTAGCATTGGTCAATCAACTACCTTTCACTACCTAATTCTAGACGTATTCTGTAGCCAATATGTATATTTTATCCACCTCCCAACCATTTATAGTTGTCTCTACAGGCATAAAACTCGCTTAAAGGGAATTTTCAGCAATCTAACTAATAATTTAAATCAAGCGAGTTTATCACCTGTAGAGACGAATATAAAGGGTTGGAAGATGGATAAAATATACAGATTAGTTTAAAAATATTGTGCCTAGAATTAGAGTGAATGGTAGTTAATTGGCCGATGCTTGAAAGTGGAGAAATTCTCCCCAAAAGTGCGCAAAAATATTGCGCCGTAAATTGCATCTTTTTTGCATTACGGGATCTGTAGGGTTATGGTCTAAGACAAATATATAAAACCATAACGCTACAGATCTGCAGCTAGGTTCAAAGTATAGTACCATTTGACTTTTCACCATCAAACATATCAAGTTTGCTATGGAGGTGTTAATGGCAAAAGAAATAGGGTTATGAGGGTCTAAGGACAAGTTACTAAAGTGCGTTTGTTGATTACATTTTAAATACTGAGTAGTTTCACCGACTTTTAAAATATCGTACTTTTTATAAACCTGTTTGATGCTAAAAAAGATTTTTTTAAAGACCAAAAGATCACGAATCAAAGATTCCGATATCTTCCTGTGTTCTTATTATTTATTTTTGACAGGCTTTTGGTGTTTGCTAAAAATACATATCAATATTATCTTTGATACATGGAAAGCTGGTTTATGTGAAAAATTGACGTTTTTACAGTTTTTTTCTGCAGACATACGAGTCGCGATATTTCAGATTTGTTGCATTGTAAAGGTATGTTGACTGCTTCATTGTAAAAGTACGTCGACTGTTTCAAGTACTATATAGGAAAAAACACAGACGGCAAACCATCAAAACATCACATATTTAAACAATCATAAAGAAGTCTTTGTACTTTAGGTATCAATTTATATTTTCACTTTTGAATTTACTAATTATCGGCTCTTAAATCAATAAGTATTCGAACTTGTCAGAATCCACAATTGGCCAAACGACTGGATGATTATGGGATGCTTGGCTTTGGTCATTATTTCTTTTTAAAATAGCTAAACAATATGTGTGGTTTTTCAGTAATACAAATAAATAACTTTCTGTCCACCTTTATTATCAGGTCCAGGTCTTGTGTTTGTGGTTTACCCAGAGGTCATTGCGACTCTGACTGGATCAGTGTTTTGGTCCATTATCTTCTTTATTATGCTTATCACTCTGGGTTTAGACAGTACTGTAAGTATTAAAACATTCTTTTTGTTGATACTTTGTTATCTGGAATTTAAACTTAAATAATCCAGCATTCTTAAATATCACCTGATCTACAAGACGTATTTTTCAGTATGGAGGACTGGAGGCCATTATTACAGGAGTTTGTGACGAATATCCTAAAATTAAACGTCATAGAGAATTGTTTGTCCTTGGTTTGATATTATTGTGCTTTCTAGGAGCGCTGCCAACTGTTACAAATGTAAGTACAACAGACTTAAAACTCTCAAGATTTGGATTAACTTTATTGCAGGTTATTTAAGGATTGAAATTAATATCGTTCACATGTACCACAGCTATTTTATTTCTTTCAGGGTGGTCAGTATGTCATTAATTTGTTGGACAACCATGCTGCTCCAATATCTTTACTCTTTATTTGTTTCATAGAAGCCATAGCTGTCAACTGGTTTTATGGTAGGCAAAATTATAAGGCATTCTCATTCTCAATTCATCAATAAATAAAGAAGTGAGACTCCTCATCAAAAGCTTAATTTACGAGAAACACATTTTTAAAATAGGTTGTCAGAAATTTTCTAATGACATTGAAAGTATGCTTGGTCACCAGCCAGGGATCTTTTGGAAAATGTGCTGGATCGGCATCTGTCCTGTTTGTCTTTTGGTGAGTATTTCAATTTTTAGTGAAATATAATCTCAGTGCATTCCGGAATTGATGTTTGATTATGGAAGGTCTTTAATTCCATTTTCTGTTAGAATATGGTTGTCTAGTTCATTCGATTATTTCAATATGATAGTACAATCTCAGTAGATCTGATCAAGTACCAAATAAGTATTTTCCAGAGAACTTTTTAACATTCTTTGTTTATTACTTATATTTACATTTGAGACAAATATTCCGAATACAACCGCATCTATTACACGAATAGCGGCGCCTGTGGTATTGCTATTGTATGTTATGACATGCAATGACTCAGAAACGTTTGGTCTTGAAAGAACAATGATTGTTGCAAAGAATACTCTTACTATTTTATGAGTTCTCTTTCTTTTTGAAGTAAAAAGCGCTGGTACATGTATCATCTGTTTCGGTTTACATACATCATGTACATGTACCCTCTATTATCTATTTATCTGCCAGCAGAAGTCAGTCTTTGTTAGTGTCGCCCTCCTGGCACAGTGGTTAGAGCGTCTGTTCTAGAGTCGCGAAGTAAGGATCCTAACGTCGCGGGCTCAAATCCCATCGTGGGACGTGGAATCCGGTCCTTTGGATGAGACCGTATAAACCGGGGTTCCTGTCTTAGTAGGTTCTGGTACGATACAGATCCCTTACTGCTCAATGGCCCTTAGTGCCGAGTATAGAAAGTTTTAATTTGATTTATTTTCTCTCCGAGTTATTTTCCTTGCTGCTATTTGTGGTCACTGGTCAACCTGGTAATTTTTCCTCTTTTTCTTACCAACCTGGTAATTTTTCCTCTTTGTCTCTCCAAATTTATGAGAGTGTAGAAGAAATGTTTTTTTTATGGAATTAAAATTATGAAGTAATATAGGCTTTACCAAAGTATATTTTTCGGAAAAACGATATGCTTCCTACCCCACAATTGCCAGTATATAAAGTTAAAGTATGTTGTATAGTGAGAGAATACGAGCATGTTGACCTCTAATATGACAACCAAAGGGAAATAACTTTCGTTAATTTTGGATAACTAAAAACTATCTATAGGACAGAATTTGCAACTTTCCACCGGCAAGTGGTGGCGTCTCCATATGAGTGTCTCTTCCAAAATTGTGAATGTTAAGGCCCATGGGTCGAGGATTCTGGAGTTGGGGTGGAGCTCATTCATCCCGATAACTCTTCTGGGTGTTTCTTTTCGCATTACATTAGATTCTAAGCTATCATTCGTTCTTTTCTGTCATTTTTGCTCATTTGCCGTCTTCCTGGATGATTGGTTGAAAAGAAACATGTACATGACGAGGGGTATCTAGATTTTAAGCAGGAAACATGCCAAACCGCCGTGCAATTAAATTATTGTTGAGATGATTTCCGGAAAGAATTCGCCATCGGCGCGCGCGTTAGTATACACTGTACTAGAACATGTGCATTTATGGGATACTAAGTAATTGTATCATTTCATCAAAGCACATGTAAAATAGTTGGAAACGTGAAAAGTTGGTAATAATATTTGTAAGAGTTATGCCTCTTCGGCTAGGCTACAATAAGATGATCTACTTATTTCCATAATAAAATCAAAGTCACATTTCCAAAAACGATCGAGGGTGGACACTTTTTAGGCGAAAATAGGATTTTTCGGGCGACAGGCGGCAGTTAATCGGTTGTTGTTTTGCTTGATTATTACCTTTTTTGTCGGCCGATATATTTTATGGCAGTCTAACCAAATTATACTTACTGTCTGCGTCGGAGGCATATTCCTTCAATTGACTTAGTCGTTGAATAGTTCTTCCACCAGCCTTCGATCATCGTCCGTCCATCGGCAGACAGTTTATAAAGTCGGTCGTCCGTCGGTCGATTTTTAGGAATTCTAGCGGCCGAGCAAACGATGATAATGCCTAGGTCACATTTAAGCCGATGGTCCGGCGACCAAATTTTTATGGTATCGTCGGCTGAAAGAACTTGATCGGCCGACACGAGTATCGGGCGACACGTACATGTAGCAGTCACATTTTAAAATTCCTAGGAACACCGATGACTTGAATAATGGCATTAAAAAAACTTTTTTCTTCAGAAATCAGCAATATTTTTCATACATCTACATTCAAATAGGTAACATAATGTTTGCAAGGTAAATTGGGAGAATTGTGTAAGATTGTGACACAATGTTAAAAATGTGTGCAAAATGTTGTAAATAGTTACATAGAAAAAACGAAAAAACGGCGCATATCTGAGCAGCAAAGAAAACTTCTATATATTTTAAGAATTTATTATTTCATTTCTATTAAAAAAAATATCAATCCATGCATCAAAATATTGTTTGTGTCATGTATCCTTATGCCTTAGTCACATTTCCCGGCATGTGGCCGTAGACCGGTGGTAACTCGTGGTGTGAGCGATGCCCCAACATCGGTCCACATCAGCCTAGCTCATACATTGGTGAACATCGTTCGTACGCCGGTCGACTATGAGCCAATGTTTGGACGAACATCGACCTATGATCATCTGATGTCTGTTGCCCACCACTACTACCCCCCCCCCCCCCCCCCCCCGATGACCTCAGATTCAACGAACACTGGACGATACTCGGCCATACTTCGTCCGATCCTTGAAAGATGTGTTTACTATAGGTGTCCGGTCGGCAACCACACCATTTTTATAAAAAAACTCATCGGTTTCTCATCGTATACCCCAACGCTGGATAATGTGACTGATACTTTAATAGGTTAACTATTTAGAAGTCGGCCAATTGTCGCCCGATCATCGAGCTTTGAGGTGCAGTTTGATTTTAATCGTTGGTCGAAATTTTGGAAACCCTTACTGTCGAACGACGGACGAGCGACGCTATAAACTGACCGCCGATGGTCGGACGATGACCGAAGGTTGGTCGACAGATTGCTTCAACTGAAGAAATCGGCCACCGACGCAGAAAATAAATTAAAACTTGGACCGATGGACACAAAATTGGTCGGCCGACGAAAAAAGAGATCAAAATCGGGGAAGACAACGGAATATGAACTGCCGAATGTCAACCGAAGAATTCCTTTATTGCTTCAAAACGTTAGTCGTTTTGGGGATGTGAGTGGGGTTTTAGGCGACGGCCAAGTGTACAACTTATTAATACCCTGGATATTTGCTTTAAAAAATAATGTGACTACTCTGTTTTCCCTGATACATGTACTAGCGTAGGTTGATTATGCCTTAGTCACATTTCTCGGCCGGTGGCCGTAGACCGGTAGTAATCCGTGGTGTGAGCGATGCCCCAACATCGGTCCACATCGGCCTAGTAGTCCTTAAAGTATCAGTCACTTTATCCAGCCATGGGGTATACGATGGGCAACCAATGCGGTTTTTTTTTATAAAAATGGCGTGGTTGCCCGACGGACTTACAAAGGCCCAGCGATGCAAAACAATGTTCCAGGGTAATCGGCCAATGTATATTACATCGCTCATACATTGGTGAACATTGTTCATACGTCGGTCGACTATGGACCAATGTTTGGTCGAACATCGACCGACGGTCGGCTGATGTCTGCTGCCCACCACTCAACCCCCCGATGACCTCAGATTCAACGAACACTTGAAGATGCTTGACCTCACATCGGCCAATCCTTGAAAGATGTGTTAATGATAGGTTGCCGATGAGGAGCGATGTGGGGCATCGGTGGAGACATCGCTGATTTTTAACTACAACTTAAGTATCAGTCACATTATCCAGCGATGGGGTATACGATGAGAAACCGATGAGTTTTTTGATAAAAATGACGTGGTTGCCGGCCGGTGATCGTAATCGGACGGTGACTGAGGCCATTTGGCGAATCGGTGGGGGTCATCGGTAGAAAATAATAAGTTGTAGTTAAAAATCAACAATGCCTCAACCAATGCCCCACATCGCTCCTCATCGGCAACCCTTCATGAACACATCTTTCAAGGATTGGTCGGTGTATGGCCGAGCATCATCAAGTTTCCGTTGAATCTGAAGTCATCGGGGGGCGGGGGGGTTGAGTGTTTGGCAATAGACATCAGGTGATAATCGGTCGATGTTCAAGCAAACATTGACCCATAGTCGACCGACGTACATGTACGAACGATGTTCGCAATGTATGAACGGTGTAATATACAACGGTAGATTACCCTGGAACATTGATTTATGATTAGGAATGCATCGATAGGCCTTTGTAAGTTCGGCCGGCAAACACGCCATTTTTATCAAAAAACGCACTGGTTGCCCATCGTATACCCCATCGCTGGATAATGTTACTGATACTTTAAGGACTACTAGGCCGATGTGGACCGATGTTGGGGCATCGCTCACACAAAGGATTACCACCGAGTACCACCGCTCTACAGCCACATGCCGGGAAATGTGACTAAGGCATTATTTTCTACCGATGACCACCACCGATTCGCCAAATGGCCTTAGTCACCGTCCGATGACTATAGGTGTCCGGCCGGCATACTCGCCATTTTTATTAAAAAACGCATCGGTTTTTCATCGTATACCCCAACGCTGGATAATGTGACTGATACTTTACATGATGTATGGTTTTTCAGCCGATGATACAAAAGAAAATTAGTCGCCCAACCATCGGGTTAATGCGATTAGTCTGATTATCCCTCAGGTCTGAATCTGTGCAGATCTGATTGCTTAATCTTTATAGAAACCAACCTGTTTGACTTTTTCCCATAAACTTTGTATTGTGTGATCGATTTTGTAAATGCAGATATTAATTGACCGATTTAATAAAAAAAAATTCACTGATTTTAACGAAGAGGTGTTTTTCTTGGAAGACTCTCAGTTTTGTGAAATATTCGAGAAAAATTGAATAAGTTAAAACGAACTTTTGGTCAATAAGATTTTCTTTTCTAATTTTTTTATCGTTCAGATACTGTTTGTTTTGTCCTGTTGGAAATACGAGGGCATGCAATTAATGGGTTATGTGTACCCACCTTGGGCTGAAGCATTAGGTTGGTGCATCACCGCTTCTTCCATCAGCTGCATCCCTATTTATGGAGTTTACAAATTCGTTACTAAACGTGGTACGCTAAAACAGGTAAGTTTTCTCCAACTTTTTGATTTTTTGTTGTTGATATAATTCTGCTTTCACTTGAAATCAAATGGCATTAACCTCTCACCTCATTTGATACTCAAGAGCATGCGCTTAGTACGATAATTTTTTTAAACGAGGCAAGCTATCGACACACAAGCTTCTGAATCAATTACATGTACATTTAAAGTTAGCATTTCTTAAAAAAGAAAATTAAGATTACTGTGCAACAATACATGTATATTCAAGAAGGAGTGTAAATCAGATGTGGATACTTAAAAAATCCAAGGATCTTATGGACAATTTGAAATTACAAGATTTTACCAAAATCAACAACTTAAAATTTATACGACTTTTCAACTTTATACGACTATTCTTCACGATAAATTAAATCAAGTTGTTTTTAAAAATATAATTGACACTTCTATTTCAACAAAAATGGAACACGTAAATATAATCACCTTGTCATTTGTCATTTGCAAAAATAACTTGGTTAAAATATATTGTGATTATCCTCACAAGTACTCTGAAGTTGATATTAAAAACTAAAAAAAAATCTGATTGACAATATCTATGTGATTTTTGGAGACCAGGTTTTCCAACAATCTATTGAAATAGCCATGGTAACCAATTGTCTCCTGTTGTTGACAGACCTATTTTTGTATTCGTAAGAAGCAGAATCTGGCCTAAATCTTATTCGTGAAATGAAGGAAATTACTGTGGCCTTCAACTTGACATTGAGATATATTGACGACGTATTGTCAATTCACGATGGTCATTTTCATTCTTATGTCGATTGAAATGGCTTGAAAAAAAGATACCACAAAGTCGGACACTTCTGTTTCATATTTAAATATTTTATTTGAAAAAGACATTAATGGTAATCTAACAACAAAGCTGCATGATAAATTTGATGACTTTAACTTTTCAATCGTCAACTTCCCGTACTTATGCAGCAATATACCTTCATTACCTGTATACAGGATTTATATCTCTCAGTTGATTTGATCCGCAAGAGCATGCTCTACGTATGAACAATTTTTAAAACGAGGTAAGTATTGACAAACAAGTTGCTGGAGCAAGAAAATCAGCAGTCTCGACGTCGATAATATGACCTTGTCAGCAAATACAATTATCATTAAGTCAAATGCTGACTGACAATTTTCATACTTATTGTTAGATCATTATACACACTCCAAATGTCAACAGATTTTCCCGTTATTTCCCGATCATGAAAGGAGCTCACGGTGGGTGCTACCGGTCAACAGCGGATGTTCACTGCTCCATGGCACCTGATCCCATCTCTGATGTTTGGGAGGTCTGTGTTTGCTCTGCTCCTATTTTGTATTGTTTAATGGACTTTTGAGCTCAATACTGTTCGTATCTTTATCTCCATATTTTTCATGCAATTATGCGATTCATTTTCATGTTTTTCACCATTATATACATACATGTATATTTCACAGACAAAGCCTGAACAAACATTGAACTATGGGTGGTATGAACAGAATCTACTTTTCTGCTCCTACTTTCACATTCTTTGATTTTAGCAAAAGATTTCGGAAAGGGGAAATAATAAACAAAAATAGGCCTAAGTGTAAATTTAGAGATTTTACAAACTTTACAATCAATATTTTTTAATATCTAAAAATAAATAATACAACTCTAATTTTTTTTCTATTTTGTTTCTCATAATTGTTTAGGATAGAATTCAGAACATCAAAATATTCCACCAGGTCCTGCTTTGTTTTTTGTGCACATTGTCATCCCCCTATTTAAAACAATTTTTTTTACATTATTTGGTACATGACAGTATTTTTCGGCAAGTCCCAGACCCCTAGACTTCCTTTCAGAGAGAAAAAAACAAAGTACAAATTATTTCAAAGAAAAATAAATTATAACTACCAATATTAATTTAATTTGGTTTAAAAAAATTAATTTAAAGGTATTTTCCACCTATATGCGAAAAAAGGTAACCTGTTGCCATGGAAACGAGACCGATGGATCAATGCCAATATGTTTTTATAAAATGTGCTTATAATGTAATTATTTCACCAAGTTTCAACAAAATCGATGAAAGTCAATTTTCATCCAATTTTGATGCGTACAAAGATTGAAACCGAGGCCCCGTGTCACAACAGACGTTGAGACGATAAAAATCCCTCACTGCTAAATGGCCAAATGAGCCAAGCCAAAGTATAAATTTCAAGCCAGTCACTGGTATATATGATTGATTGATTGATTGTATACTGTTTAACGTCCCTCTCCAGAATATTTCACTGATATGGAGACGTCACCATTGCCGGTGAAGGGCTGCAAATTTAGGCCTATGCTCGGCACTTACGGCCTTTGAGCAGGGAGGGATCTTTATCGTGCCACACCTGCTGTGACACGGGGCCTCGGTTTATACGATCTCATCCGAAGGACCGCCCCATTTAGTCGCCTTTTACGACAAGCAAGGGGGTACTGAGGACCTATTCTAACCCGGATCCCCACGGGCGTATACATGATGAAGTCTATCAACTGATCCCACCTAAACTGAGGATTAACGGATGTCATTGTGACGTAAAAAAATAACATACCCGTCCAATATCACACTGTCCGGTTGGCCAACCTCTCACTGATTATTCCAAGACCAATGTGGCCACCTGTTACTGTTAGAGGAATTTTAATTTATTGAATAACTGAAATATCTTTTTCCCTTTTTTGTAGAAAATTCTTCGACTCGTTAGGCCATCTGCGATAGCTGATCACCTAGTCGTGGTTGGAAGAACTTGTAACAAAGATACATACACTGTTGCAGTAGACGTAAACAATCTGTCCAACTCAGCCACAGCAGAGAGCGCAATTTCTCTGAAAAGTTCATATAAAGTGAATGGTGACGTTCATAATTTGTAAATAATATAAAATGAAGACAGGAAAAAAAAAATTAGAATATGAATATATTTATAGTGTATAAATAAACACGTTTCCTATCATTGCAAAACACCATAAATCACTTTCAACGTCATGAACGAAGTTGCATTGTATTTACAGTAAATTGTAACGCCGGATAAAATTATATGATAAGAAATTATTCCTTTTTTCATAACTTGTATTGCATTTCGAAACAAAATCAACATTATCATTCTATAAACATAAAAAAATGCACAAAGGTGTTACATTAAACATCTGGTATGCAGATTACTGAATAGAAGTCATTATACACGTTTTAGAAATTCTATTATTTTGCAATTGAAAGAATGGAAGCGTACAAGACGTAACAATCCTCCGCTCTGACAAAAAGTTTTTTTAAAATCTTTTCTAAAAGTTCCAAAAACAGTAATATTTTTCCAAATGTTATTGTCAATACATATTGCTTTTACACATTTGCTTCCTTTATTTAATTTAATAAATTATTGATAAAAAATTTCAATTATGTTTTTAAGATATGTGCTAACTACTACTCATTGAAGTCTCCGTTCTTCAATGGGTGTCCGTGTGATTTAAACAAAAAGTGTGCCGTCTTTAGCAACAAACTTAAACAGATAACTGACTATACCTATCAGGCCGTATTATTCTTCAGCATTTTTTGGCTTTATATTTTTTTCATTAGCTTTTTACTCACATTAGCCCTTCCATGTGCACGACAAATTGACAATCCCCGACTCCGCCTCACTCCATGAAACCAAGGTTAGTCAGGAACTTGCCAACCAAGGAGCTCCGAGTGTGCATCAAACGCTCGGCTTTCTCCGACTATGCTGCCGAGAGAAAGTGAAAAGAATACAAACAATAACCGTGTAATTAAGAATAATATTCTACCATTTTCCTTCATTCCTTTATTTTTTACTTCTTTTTTTCTTATTTTACGATTGAAATGAAGAGTCTTAAGTCGTACGAAAATAAGATCATCAGAAAATTATTTCCTTTTTTCTAGAACAGCATTTCAAGCAATAAGGTGATTAAAAAATTTCACATCATGCAATTTCTATCCATCACAAAAAGAGAGGAAGTTAGTAATCCAAAACTTGTAAAATATTTCATCTCTGTATATCGTCCTCTAAGGATGACGGTAATAAACAAATAACCATATACCAATCTCATCATCTGTGAAGTCCCGTTCTTTACTTACAATATTATGTAAGAGTGCTAACATCTACGCATTGTAAATAAACATCCGGTGAACTCTGACACAAATACCTCATAGATAAACTTTTTTTTTCATGAGACATGAATGATGGCACATTTTTATCTGTTTTGATATGTATCATTTATATTTGTTATTTTTAAGAATATTTTTTAGGAAATAATGTTATTAGTATTGTTTTAAATGCGATGAGATTGTACTTATTTTTTGTCTTGTAAAATGTTTCATAGGGATCATGGAAATAAAGTGATTAAAATAATCAATTATAAACCAGTTTGCTTTTCTTGACAATCAAGGCCTTAATACCAAGCTGCTTTCGAAATCATACCTACAGTGTATAGATAGTCTTTATATGACGTATTTTCTTTCAGAGTTATTTTTCTTGGCCGCCATCTTGATGCTAAACCAGGTAAATTTTCCTCTTTGTCTTACCAAATTTAAGGTGATGTTGCAGAAAAATTTTGAGGAAAATCTTTATATGGAATAAACATGTATTAAATTAAGCTCCAACAATTGTTTCTTTTTCAGAAAAACAATGCCTCCTACCCCGAAATTGTCATTAGTCTAGAATAAGTTTAATTTGGTTGAAAATTTAAAGAATATATGGGCATGTTGACCCCAATATGGCGGCCAATGGGAAATGACACTTGTTAATATGGGACTACTCAAAACTATTTAGAATCATGGGATGCTGTAAGAAGAAAAGGTGGCACCGTTATACTTTATGGATTTTTATATAATGCATTAACAACCCAATCTAAAATAAACAGATTATTACATTTTGCGAGTTCAAATACAATTATTGAAGGCATGAGGGTAAATGGCAAATTTATGGTTCCTCGAGGGAAAAAACTTTCCTGAGATGGCGAATAGTTTCCTACATGCCAAGGGGAATATAAATTCGCAATTTCTCTCAAACTTACATCATTTCATAGCTGTTTTATTATACGGAAACAATCATGAAAGCTGATTCAGCTAGAGACTCAAACAGTTTTTAAAAGAAAATTATAATACACATTCAAATTATAGTAAATGCATATGACTAAAATTTACTTAGATATCTGATACATCAAAACCGATTAGAATAATATTATTTTTAAAATAAATGAAAGGATTATCGTTGTCATTATTTTGCTAAGATATTCAAGTATGATTTTGACATAACATGTCAAAATGTTTTGACGTTGATATTACATTTCTAATAACAATACCTGTCAGACAGATTTGAGATTCTTTGAACGTTCATCTTCTTAGTCGGAAAATAGCACTTAAGGAAATCTCACTGGCATAGCATTTCTAGATTTCAGTAGGGCATTCGATTTAGTCAGCCATGATATCTTAATTGAGAAATTGAGGCACTATAACTTTGACTCACTTACAGTTAAATGGTTTCAGTCATATTTAAATGAAAGAACTCAAAGTGTTACAGTTGGTGCATATTCTTCCGATATCTTACCTATCACAGCAGGGGTGCCCCAGGGATCTATATTAGGCCCACTCCTATTTTTAATCAAACTCAAAAGTTTTATCAAATGTTTATTAAATTAACACTGGGAAAGTGATAACATCATTCGACCCTTTAAATATGAGGCTGGAAACAGGTTTAATTTCCATGTCTGCAGTTTCATTGACTTCATGTTTCATGCATTTTAAAATTGTAAATGAGGAACCAAAACGGACAATTTGGATAATTACGGACCAATTGAACCGAACTGTGATAACAGTTTGAGGTATCGTGAACCGAACCGTGGAAAAATAAACCGTGCGGTATACCGTCAAACGGTTCATCGTTGCACTCTTATTACCATCTTCGCTAGCCAAGGGTTTCTGATAGGCTCCTCTCCTCATAAACCCTTGGCATACGGTGAAGTCAAAAGACGGGATTGTTTTCCGTCACGTGATCTCAAATCTATCAGGTACACACAGATTGCATCATCGCCAGAAATAAAGACACGTGTTAAAAAAAATTAAATCAAAGTTTTTTCAAGAATAATTAAGAAGCAATAATTGAGTTTTGTTTATTCATTATTTATAGAACAAATCTGAAGCTTCAATATAGATTCTTAATCACATATTTAGAAGATATTGGATGACACCATGGCTATTCATAGAACTGAATGTTATCTTACGGATCGTTGTTTTCTAGACTGGTATTGCCTGTCTTTACCGTACGCAGGAAAATATCGGATATCAGACAGGCAGGCCAGTCTATGTTGTTTTCTTGCGTTTTTCATTTCCGAGATTAAAGAGTGAAGATGTATCCCGAACGCAAATATCGTCATTTACAAAAAACAATTGCTGATTGATCGACCTGGGTCTACTGAAATCCAATCAGAACTCTGGAAAAAAATCTCGATTTCTATGAACACCGTAGGCCAAGGGTTTATGAGGAGAGTAGCGTATCAGAAACCCTTGGCTAGCGAAGATGTCTTATTACATAACCAGTCTAAAGGTTGAATATGAGTGCTGATTTTAATGTCAGAGCAATGTTTTTATTCACTATTTATCTCAATTTATCCATTAAAATAAGGTGAGTTTATATTTTGGTATATTTTGGTAATTAATTCTTACAAGAATGTAACTTATGAAGCGCACTGAAGTGGTAAAATTTTCCATTTGGATAAACGTTCTGAGTCATGTTTTGAACGTCAATTATAACATAACGACACGCCCATTTCTTTAGAAACGAGAAAGGATTATTCGTCGTAATGTTTTAGGACACAACACTTTCCGCGACAAGCAACATGAGTTATACTGAAATGAAGATTTTTAAAAAAGAAAGAGCTATATTGAGAGTTCCCGCTTATGTAAAACACGTATTGCAACGAATTTGCACATAATTATGAATTCATCATGTTTATTCGAGTTAGCATAGCACATGTATCATTCGAACACGTGCTTACTGGGTGTTTATGTAGACGGTCAATTTCATTGGATGTTATATTTATGAAAAACCTGTTCTACAAGTATTAGATTGAATATTTGACCGATTTTTCTTTTTTAAAGAAATGGGCGTGTCTAAAGATAACTCAAAACGTTCCATCCAAACAGAAAATTTTACCACTTCAATGCGCTTCATTGTAAACATGTTAAAAAAGCAAAGCACTGTGGGTCCAAAGTTAACTGCGGAAAAATTGTATGGATCAATGTGCAAGTCACAATCTTCTTTTGCCAGGGTGTTATCATAAGAGCTCGCATTATGAGCAGGGATTTGTGCTGCTGTATGAACTCGCTATAAATAGATGTTCTCAAAAAGTCTTAATTAATATCATACTTATTGACAAAAAAAGGACAAATATTGCTCAGTTAAATTGCAAAAGAAATTTGTTTTTAAAAAAAATTGTAATAATAGAAAGTTTGCTTTTTTGAATGATAAGACTGCAGGAATGGTTTGTTTGTTCATTGGCCTATCAAACATTTTTCAGTTATTTTATGGTGCCACCACTTGGAATAGCATTAGCTGCAAATATAGACTTGTACTCAGCACTTATTGCCTTTGAGAAGTATGGGATCCTTTTTGTGCCAACACCTACTGTGACACAGAATCTTGGTTTATACAGTCTCATCAGAGCATTTAGCAATGGGATTGGAACCTGCGACGTAAGGTTCAGATTCTTACTGATACTTTGATTGATAATAATTATTTGAGAATTTCACTCATTCACATATTTAGAGATGTTAATCATGTTAATATATACTGTTGAAAAGCATCAATTTAGACCTTTACTTAGAACTCAGGGTCATTGTCCTAAGTAAACATGTACTGTGAG